TTTCATCTAGTATTGTTTACTTGTAGAAACACTATAATTAGCAAAATCTTTCATAATATTTGTCAAGATGAAACTTTTGAAATACATTGTTTATTTGTTTGTAGTTTTAAGATAAATAACCCCCTCATCATTATTTTACATAGCATCCATTATACAGGATTGCTCATTTGCATAAGTTTCATTTGCATAAATGAGGTACATTATCGTCATGGTTGCAAGAACCATGAACAAATGAACAGATTTTATTTTCAGCTGCTTTTTTATTACAATCATCTGCAAGCAAATAATTGAAATGAGAGAAACCATTATTCAATGGAAGGAGTGGGTAAGATTTGAAGGGTGACAGTACACCTTTATTGTCATTAAGAGAAGCAGCATTATCCACAGTGCACTGATTGGGTGAGAGTGATGGTAGACCATACCATTATTAAATAGGGGTGGTGCAGCAGTACAGTTGAGGGTAACAATGCCACCTGTGGAAAGAATATTAACCTGGAATAAAGACTCTGAATAGTTTTCCTACCTGCGTGCCTAAGACTCTGTCGAAGTAACGAGACAGCTGCTTCTGCTGAATTGCTCTTGTGTGTAATTTTACGTGGTATTCTGGGCTTCATAGATCTGTGTTTACCAGGCCATGGACCCTCATACTCCGGTAGACTGGATTCCATCTGTGAAAGGAATCACATGATGCCAGATGTGAGATATGTAATGTAAATGCTGATTATATATGAACCAGCACATGCCGATATTTAAACCAATCACTAATTTGTTATAAACACTGCATGAAGTTAACTCAATCCCCCGAAAGTGTTACACAAGTTTTTTTTTTTTTTTTTTTTTGCCAATCTGTTTTTTCAAGAGACATTGTCAATTAATATGCATAAAATAGCACTTAACACCAGTTTCCATAACAACCTGATTTCATCATTATATACCCCACTATAATATGTAAATTTTGTAATATATCATCAAGTACTGTACAAAACACTATATACCATTTTTTCACTACATGTAATCAACAACAATTTTGAGAGAGCCAGATATATTATTGGAATTGGAAACAATCATGGTAAAATGCCTTGAAATGGACTAAACATGCTATTTTCCAGGGAAATATAGTTTTATTGCATTTTTTTATCCTTGATTTGACAAATATGTAAAAAAGAAAAAGAAAAAAACATTTTATTACTGAGCAGCATTCTACCTTAAGATTATTATTATTCGATATTTCTTATATTGTAAAATTTTATTTATCCTGATTAGCCAACCCACTTGGTTGAAGCTAATTTTCAGGAGGAATCAGACTCAAAGAAAAACAAAAACACAAATTTATGTAAACAATCTGACCATCCTAATTTAATGAAAAACTATATTGCATCTTTTACATGAAATAAGACAAAAAATTGGTGTACATACACTCCACAGTGAATCTAGAGAGTTTCTTCGACGCCATTCCTCAGCAGACTTCGTCCTGTTTGGTTGTGTTGCATCAGGCTGGAACAACTCACTCAACATTTTTGCCCACAACTGTGCTGCATCCTACATTAACAAAAACAGTAAATCTCAGGTTTGCTAAGTCAAAGGGGGAGTCAATGGGTAATACTAACAGATTTTAATATAGTGGGGCTATGCTTGGATACATGAGACTTCATCAGTGCTCCTAATTTAATGAGGAAATGACAAAGTATGGTGATCGTATTGACTAACGCATAGCAGGGGTTGATGCGATCATACACCGCCTGAGTGCATACTTTCCAGCTTTCTTAATTTCTCTGTTTGTAGTACAAATGTAATTTGAGATAACAGCCAAAAATTCCACTGAAAAATGTTTCACATTGTGCTAACATTTATTTTCAGTGACAGGGGCATGGAATTCTATTTTCATCACACCGTGCTTCTCTAACAATATAAATGAGGTAAAGGGTTTACATGTGACGTCAATAGCCTAGAATGCATTCAACGTTGGTGACATAGTTTACTCCATATAAGGAAAATTTGAACGTTGGAATAAGTTATGGAATATTTAGACAAAGTTGATAAGGTCATAAAATTAGAAAGCACGCCAACCTGGGCATCTTTCGCCAGATCTCTTCCAGTGGACGGCCGCTCTAAGATTGCAGCCGCAACAGGCAGCAGCATGATCCTCCAGAATCTCCATCTGCGATTTGGTAGATTTATTTGCTGCAGAGATACCAGATTTTAACGATTCTGACCGCGGACTGGGTTCTAGGGGCACTGAAATATGACTCTGTTCATCTGTAGAGGAAATTACATTACAAAGTTTCAATCATAGAGTGTCAGTTGATGAATGGTAGTTATGGAAACAAACAGGAACACTGGCAGTACATGTATCTATTTTTTTTCCTTCACCTGGAGAGGGCGCTATACAAATCAAGACCATTCAAATTTGCAAAGCGTAATTCTCGTTTATATATGCCAGAATTTTTTTTTAACAAGCTTACAATAGGGATTAGTATGTGATTAATTCAAATTGTTTTTTTAGTTCGACACTAACAATGGTGTTAACTCATGTGTGTATATGAATGAACCCTGAACAATGAACTGAAGGAAAATACAATGTGGATCAAAGGTCACACATCCTGGTACTTTCTGGGGATATTGTTGCACTTTTTGGGGGTATAACAGCAATAATTTTCAATAAAATATGTATATTTGTGCAATGTGTAATATTTTTCGAACTGTCTTTATTGTCTAGAAAATAATCAAGAATTTTTTATTGATAGTGAATGAAAGTACCAGGATGTGTGAGGGGTCACACACTTTTTCACATTTTTCCCAAAATTTTGATTGAAGTATGTCAAAATATTGACTAAGGTTTACAAAGAATGATTCTAAGGCCTCAATAGACATAAAAAAAATGGTTTTGCTTTTAATCCACAGAAAAATAAAAAATTTTAAATTTTTTTTTTTTTTTGTACAAAGAACCATGTTTTACATTTACTAAATATTCACAGATACGCAAAATTTAAACTGATGCACATGATGGGGAAAAGCAAAACTTTTTGTTCATATTTTTGGCCTAAGAAGCATTTCATAGTGAGGTTACACAAACAAATGACTAGATAAAATGACAAGGTGTGACTGAAGTAGAGTTACATATGAATGATGATGTTATCCGACTAAACAGAATTGTCATAATCAGGAAGACGAGAATCTTTGTTGCGTTAATATGAATAATACATATATACACTGTAGTATATATAAAAGAAAGTTGATTTTGAAAATGATATAAAAGTGTTTATATCTTGAAATCAATTGGCTGATGAGATCGGTTCAATGTGACAGAATGCAATTAAGCAGCATATGATGACTATATATATAATATAAAATGGAAAAAAGAATTATTCTTTATGATTTCTGGATACGATCAGAGATAACGCAGGGTTTGAACTTTAGAACTAAGAGGACACGCAGTTTCCAGATGCAGAGAATATCTATTTTTTGATGTAAATTGCCTTCATGCCTCTATGAAGTTCAAACCCTGTTTAAAGTTGCTATGATAATACTGGGTATTTCAGATGGGTAACTATGGATATAGAATAAAAAATGCTATGGAGATATGCAAATAAATACTATGAATTATGGGTATTAGTGTTGACAGCAACAATCTGTCCCATGATTCACCTGTAAGAAAATGATAGAGATGAGAAGACAATATGAGGTTGGTTGCTTAGCAACCAATGTCAAGTTCTCATTAGGATAGACTTTGTGACTTTTGACTTCGAATTATAGTTCTGTCTTTGAAAATACACATTTTTAGGCATTTTGAAGCAAAAGATGCCATGATTGATTGCTATATGCTCTTGTAAGATTCATCGACTTTTATTGAACCACAAAAATCAATGAACAACAGATATACTCTCCTAATGAGAACATAACACAAAGATTTACATAATGATATTTTATCTTACTTGCATGACTATAGTAATGAGATGACTATCCTCGGGGGCGGAGCTACGTCACAAGACGTTCCACATTGCTAAGACGCGCACCACTGCACCATGCATTTCTACGGGCTCTGTGCGCGCTGCTGTGGAACACTGGTCGAGCCGGTGAAAATTCGAGAAAACAACACAAACTCAACTTTGAAGTAATCCCGAACAACCAAATTTATATATGTTACACACGTAGGGCTAATTTTGTTGCACTGTTCAGAGGAGTCAAAACAATCACCCCAAAGTACCGTTTTATGCGAGTTTTGGGACTTTGTTTTCACCGCCGCGGGTTGCCAGGCGGTGAAAATGCCCGGATGTCCGCCCCCGAGGATAGTAGTGTGATACTTTACACAATGATACACCCTCTATAGGCTGGTTTGAAAATAATATTAAACTTTTGTTTTTTTATAGAATATTTTCCCATTCAGTGTTAGCCTTAGTTGTTGCATGCATATGACTTCAAATGCTATCTGTTTTGCTTGCTAGTAACATGCAAATTAGAGCGGTAAAACACAATGTTTCAAGGTGGAATTTAGTTTTCTTGTTACACATGAACTTGTACAAGAGTACAATTTTTCAAAATTTAATTATTAAACTAAGGGTCAGATCTGATAATAATCAATTATATAAATGTATTTATCTGCAAGTAGCAAGTGAATCAGAAATATCAATCAATTATAGTCTTGAACATCGTGAACATTTAGGAAAATAAAGACAGTTTTGAAAGAAATATTAACACAGAAGTGAAAACTTGTTTCATTTATCCAAATTGTGCTTGATGGAAAACAAGATGAAATTTTTAATGTTTTTTTAATTAAAAAGCAAAGATTTTAAAAACCATGTGAACATGATGGGGATAAAACACTCTGGGATATGATATGAAAGACGAGCTTGGAGATGATTGGATGATGTTTAATGTTAGTTGGTTTGTTATTCCAGTACACTCCAAGCAGATACCTTCATCATGCTCATCATCACTCAGTGCATGCTGCAGACCACTCAATGCATGCTGGGATAAACTCAATGGATGCTGGGAATCCAAGTCTTCGTCTTCTGACTGATTTGCCTGGAAACTCTTTATCGTGAATGACAGTGTGGCGTCAATGTCGCCTCCTTTTAAGTCAATGTCTTTTGTTTAAAAAAAAATACATGTTTTACAGTTAGTATGTGTGTTGCCCCCTAAAGACTAATGGAATAGCTCATGTTTACACAGACTTGGGCTGAACCATTTGCTTTTATAGGGGGAGGTAAGATTATTATTATTATTGCATGCTCTTTTCTATTTCATGCACTTTATTCCTGTAATGAAAAGTTGCTTATGTATTTATTTAATAAATTGATGATGATTTTTTAAAGCAGGATGAAAAAGATTCTGAAAAATTAAAAGTATGAATTAGAGAGTTGAAGTCTGTTGAAGATTTTGAAAATGATGATCGCATCATGTTGCTTATAACTTAAAACTATTTTTTTGTTCGTTGAGAAATGAATGTTTCCCGCCAAATTCAAAAAGTAGTTACAGTGTTCGGCCAAAATGAAACCAAGGTTAATTTGAAATTTATAACTAATAGACAATTCATTATGTCACTCGCATCACATACCAATCAATTATAAATTGGCTGTATTGCGAAATGTAATCACATTTGAATAACATTTTCAAAAATTTAAATTTGGCGGAAAACTAAATAGTTATAAAAATGTGTTTTCTCTGCATCAAGCCATGCAATGAAGACAGAATTTACTTCTAACAGAATCAAAATTCATGATTTTATTAACACATGCATTAATGAACATGAAAATTAGCAAAATTGTGTTGCCATGGTGATTTACAATAAGCAATATATCAATAATTAACCCAGCCATGTGTGCTCACAGAATTTTGTGATTTCATTCTGAATTTTCTATGTTTTATATACTGACCATGCACACTGCAGTTTATGTAAAACACCTTACCTCGAAGAGACACTGGACGAGATTTTTTGGTGCCGACTGATGCTGGGTAGCTTTCCCCATCTGACAAGTGACCTGAGTCATCAGAATCTTCTTCACCATCTAGGAATTGTAAGGTTAATATAGTAAATGTAATAATAAAACAGATTAAAAAAAATATCAAAATTTTAAGCAGCTTAAAAGGTCTCGCACAATCAACCATTTTACTTTCTTAGAACTGTTTGGTCAAGTTATGTCACATGACAACATTTAGCCCCTTTAGAAAAATTAAATATAAAAGGGGTTACAGTCCACAAACAGTCTCAGTTGATTACATAAGTATGTAAGCTTCTTACATTTAACAAACAATTATCTTTTCAAGTGCAGTTAAATATCAAATCACAAAAAATTAATCTAATAAAAATAACCTGTAACAGAATAATATTAATTTATCAGTCAAGAAAAAACTTTTTGCTAAATGAGAAAAAATGTAGGTGCATTTAGGTAAGCGATTTTTTGAATACGGAAACAAGCATGTGCAAAAGAAAAAATGTACTGACATTTGTCACCATGCAACTTCTTTAAGGCATAAACCATTTTGTGTAGGGTGGGAAGCTATGTTAGCATGTGTTGGGTTAAAATATTTTGTGCTGTTCAGCTTTAGTTTTTGGTAACCCTGCAAATAAGTATGCTGCGACCCCCTAGCACAAAATGGTTTTACCATTCCCAATTGCGTGTTTGTTTACTTTTTGAAGTTGCATGCATTTTCTGCTGATCAACAAGAAGAAAACATGCATAGAATTTTTAAAATATTCATTTGGAATTTGTTCATTGTTGTTACCATGACGATGTGGTACAAGCAGTCTGACTCGTCGGCGCTCAGGGAGGGCCTTTTTTGTACCTTGTAGAATGGAAGCAATGATAAAGAAAAAACAAAGTATTTTGGTAAATTTTGTTATAAGTTGATTTTTTTTAAATCTCTGCTAACATTATAGCTGCAATGACCGCTGTCCCCACATAGACACCACCAACATTTAAGTAGTAATTACAAACTATGCATCTCACTGTACTTTTATTTGACAGTTTAAAACTGCAGTATTCAACACAAACATTTTTTACCAGGGTCTCATTTTTGTTTTTGTGTGTTGACTCAAATAAACACAAAATATTAAGGTGTGTACTGGTGATACATTCTTATTTCACTTTGCCTTTTTGCTGTGTTAAATGAACTAAACACAGAAGATCCTTTGTGTTTTTACAAGAAACTGAACATTTAAGTACAAATGTGCTTTGTACAAATGTAGTATTATTAATCACAGATGCGATAGAACTCAAGGAGCGACTGTTATTAAGGCTGGGGGTGGGGCTGGGTTTATCGGCAGTAATTGAGGAATGCTAGGAGGATTATTTTCGGGTCACTTGGAGAGGTTCACTCAGGGCCAAAGTAACGATACCTTCATGGGGCAATGGTGGTGCTTCACCGATATCTTCATTGTCAGTTAATTCCTCCTCAGTTTCTTCAGGAATGACTGGCACTTTTTCAGCAAAGTGGACTGATTTTGATCTGCTGGGAACTACATTTCCCAATGAGTGGCAGCACAAAAAAAA